AGGAAGATCTATTAGATATTAATTAAATTATAAATATATCAATTCATGTGAATATGACTGAAAAATTTCATTTTTTCTGGAAAGGTGGTGTCTATTTACTTGTGACCACGCTGTGTATATATATATATATATATATATAAAGACAGCTCAAGTATAAAGTTATTTTGTATATGAATAACTATTTTGTGCTGTTACTCTACTGGTTTTATTTGTTTAACTTGGAATGTTCAACATGCAAATACTATTTGTATACCTAAATTCTATAATATTTTATATACGTATATAGGCTCTTACTCTATCTTAATTTTTAAGAATCAGATTAATTCGATTTTATAGTTATCTACAGTATACATAATACATTATATTAAGTACATTTATGATTTTATCTAAAGTATTTTGAACTTAGCCTCCCCTTAATATTGTATTTCTATGACTACACCCAGACAGGTTAAACCTATTAGAGAGCACCCTCCCCCTACCTCAGTTGCTCAGCGTTAAGCTTGAAGGCTTAGATGTAAAAAAAATCGGGTTTCGATACCCGTGGTGAGCCAATTGTGTGTCGGTGCGCTTAGACACAGGCAATCCGTTGTTATTTATTTGATCTATGGAACTAATTACACATTTTAGTGAGGGAAAGTGGAAATCAAAATTAATGTATCCATTGTTGTCTATGTTATTTGTAGGTTACACTATTTTACCTATACAGTATACTACAACAGCTTACTTCTTTTGCTGTCTAATTTCTAAAGCTTTACACTCGTTAATGCTTTTATTATATTTGATACTATTTATACAGTGTTTACTTTTCAAGTATTAATATTCATATGGCGTACGTTATTATGTGTTAATTTTTCTTTAACAGTTTAAGTTTATAGAAAATTAATTAACTCACCATACTTGGCTACTCCTGCAGTAGAAGCAAGGGCGAGAATCACAAACACGAAAGCTCTTTCCATCATGGCTGCCACTCTCATAAACACCTCAAAATCAAATTCAATGTAAAGATTCAACTTTAGACGGTTTTAGCCACTGAGTATCAATGGAATGAATGCCACTGTCAGTAGCTACCAAACAAGGATTATTCGGTTTTCTGAAATTAGTAAACAAATAGCAATCGATATTAGCCTTTGCACTCACTGGTACAGAAGGCCCTTGTTCAAAGTACGCTATTATCTATGAAATGCGCGGTTGAGGGCGGGTTTATTTTATAGTCATACATAGGTCACGTGGCTTTGTTTCCTGGCTGTTGTCAAGATGCCAAACTTGCATCACTAGGCTGCTTCTGCGAATGATTGTTATTATAAGATGTCGTAAGCGGATGTGTAACTGTTGATATTTCCTTTCCTTTTTAAGATAAATGTATAGATAGCATTCTTCAAACAATTCAACATTTTACCGAATATAAACCTTTTAGCAGTAGTTCATATGAGCGTGTTGTGTTTTTCTCATTTTCTTTGTTATTTTATGACGTTTATGAAACAAACTTTTCTTCAAAATTAGTTTACACTTTCCTTCGTGCTCACGATTTTATAGTTTGTTTGTTGAGGCTTTTTGGCATAAAGCACCATGGTTATCTGTGCACTAAAACCTAGTTAAATAGAGCTGAATAGAGAGAGATTTTAAATAAATTTATAATTGTCATATGACAAAAAAGAGCAACCAGCTTTTAAAAATGTGACTTTTATGAGTGAGACTTTAGAAAAAATCACATTTTAGCGCTCGGTACTAAAGTGTTGCGAGTGCTGAAGGGGAGTCTGGGGGCATACTCTCCCCGACGTATCAGTCACATATGCAGGAATGGTTCGAGGGGATTCGGCCTAACCCGGAATTTTTGTGATGTCAAAAAAAATATGCTAATATAGTTATGGCTCAGCTGCTTATGGTACTTAACGTTTTATACGTAGTCTACATTCTCCTTATGAAGTATTAAAAATTTTAACTTGAAATATTCGCATGCAATGGCTTCTGTTGACACTTTGCAATTGGAATTCCGATGCCTTATTGCTACTGTCAAGTTTTGTAGGCCAGATTATTTACAGTAGGTGTCTGTGATTTGTTGGCGATAAGTTTCAACAATAAACAAACAGCAACACAGTCCACTTGTTTTAAAATAATGGACCAGGGTTTCTTAAGTGTTCAATTTCATGTCGCCAGTGTTCTGGGGCAAATTTCTCTGAGTACGTACCTTACACAAACATATAAGAAGTTCTAAATGATAGACGATGGACAGAGATTCCCAAACATATATAATATGTTGAGTTTGGGTTAAGGTTTTCCAGCAAACCAAGGAAATAAGCAATGGTGAGGTGTTAAAAGTAACATGTCTCCAACACAAAAATTTAATTTCAAAGCAATTACACAAACGCAAAAGTGTAAGCATGACTCAAGCCTTTATTGTGATTAATTAGTAGACATTTATCTTTTGAAAATTTGTTATTTGTTGATTGTCCCATTACTTTTTCACATATAAAAATATCCAAAATAACATGTCGAGGTAATCATGTGTTTTCCTTTATGGTTGTTTATTTTCAAGACAATAATTACAAATTTATGAGTAAATAAAAAGATTAGAGTCTAAAATCAATCTGGAAAGTATATAATTTGATTTGATCATACCACACACACAGGGTATCAAGAGATACTTTGGGTATGTTCATTTGGAGCTTGTAATAAAATTAGTTTTTTATGCAGGTAATCTCCTTTACGCATATATCCAGTGTAGATACTCCAATTATGCCATTTTGTCCTGCAAGAAATGTCCTTGAAGGTGGGATTACATAACAGGAGTGTATCTCTTTGACTGTATAACTAACATTGAAATGGTGTGAATGGTGGTAGTTTTACATTTAAATGACTGATAAATTACAAAGCTAAATTCTATGAGCGATAATTAGGGGTCTATTTATAAAAACAGATAGTTGGGGACATGGTAAGATGCATGTAAAGGAGTTCACAGAATAGGTAAAGGAGATCACCATTTTAATTCAACTCCTTATATATGCTTTGCACTTCTTAGTATAATGCCACATTATAATAAAAGCTTACGTTTGTGATCTGTGGAAGTAGTCTAATACAAAATAACAATTTTTATTGGTCTGCTATAGCTGGATTTACTGTAGAAATATAAAGGAAATCACATTAATTTCTACACTTGTCTTTGCTAATATACAGAGTGGTATGCAGTTCGGTGATGGGTTTCATATTTGTATTTTTAGAATAGGTGGTAAACAGAGTTGGTAGCTGAAATATTATCACAGAAAAAAGGCAGCAGAAGGGAAAACCTTCTTACAACTTGTTTGCTTTTTGCCTTGTTAATCTAGGTACAATATAATCTGGCAAAGGAGAACACATGTGAAAAACAGTAGTCATATTCATCAAGGTGGAAAAATGTGACAGAATGTAGCCCGAGTGCTGGATGTTTGGCACAAGGTTTTTCGGTAGTTATATTTTCAAAAACTGTATACATCATACTTACAGGAGAATACTTTTTTCAACATTTTCCAGTTGAAAAAGGGACACTTAAGAAAGACTGGCCCTAATTTATTAAAACAAGTCAAACGTATATACAAATGTTCATTCCACTGTTGGTTATCATAGTTGTATCCAGAGGTTTAAATAATTGGCTCTTTTTCGTCAAAGGCCACACAGACTGATTCAATTACTTTAGAGCACAATTGACAAGACGAATTATTCTTCTCTGCACTGTTATTGCAATACAGTCTGTGATAATTTCTCTTTAAGAATCGCTACTGTGCACTGTTAATCGCTAAACTCACAATCATGCAGTCAGTATCTAAATAATAACCTTTTCAAGCATATTTATACCCCAACAGAAATCTAGAACATTCCACACAATACTAGACATTCTGAATGCTCTAGCTTTAATACATAATCATTATGACATTGTTATCAGCCTTGAAACTGTATGTAAGTTATTTATAGAAAAGCACCACAGAAGAATGGAGCATTCTTACATATTATATCCATAGTGCATACATGTACGTATATGATAGCCAATGATTTAAATAGCTAATACACTATTGTTGTACAGAGTTGTGTAAATTAGTAATATAATTTAACAGTTAATAACTACTCTGCATTTAGAGTAGTTATTAAGTACAGTACTTTATTATAATAAAATATACATATTTATGCTAATTCAAGTCTAGCTACCCATGCAGTGTTACAACAGAACGATGATTTGTTGACTTTTTATTGAATGTTTGTGGATTTTATGTGAATAGCCATGCACTTGTTTAACCTATATTTCATTCAAAATTGCTTCCAGATTTAATCTAATAGCTCCTATTTTTTACAGGTTTTCTGGATGGACATGCCCCAGTAGCATTAACATGCTTTGCATGGTGATTATGCTTAGCACAATATGTGTTCACTTTTAATCTCACAAATTAGAACCCCCCTTTTAAACACTTTGCAAATGCGTCTGCCTATGTTTATTCAATGAAGCAAAACAGTGTAATCTGGTGCAATTTCTGGATCCAACGATTTATAGAAAGGGACAAATATGCTAAGTTGACCAAAACATGAGATGTTATTGCTAATGCGTGGGAGCATGAGAATAGGCCCAGATGCTTTACGTCTCATGCTCATTGGATGAGTGTTGGTAGCACTACAAAAACCTGGATTAGTGTACCAAAACTTGTACTTAATAGAGACATAGATGACAAAGAACATTTAAAGATTATACATTAAAGAAAGTAATTTACTATGGATCAATATTTCCTCATTTTCCAATTTGGTTTCGTTTTGTTGTTGTTATATGCAAAGCTACAGAATTGGTTATCTGTGTTATGTTCACCAAGGGTATTGAAACTCGAATTTTAGCGTTGTAAACCTGCAGACATACGGTTGAGTAACTGAGGGGGGGGGGCTATCATTTTCTGAATTAGTTAATATACCCCAATAGCAAGATGTATATATGACATACCTAGGTCATGCATAAATGATTAATTATACAATAGTCATAAAAACACAACCAATAAGCCTACTTTGGTCACAGTTCATATCTTTTCTGTGTACAAATAAAAATTCAACAGTTTTAGAATGTTCTGAAGAAATAGCTTCTTTGCTCGTTCATCCTATGAAGTACCTTACTTACGACTTTAAGCCTAATTGATCCATTTTGTCTTTATGAACATGAAACACCACAAAGCTGTTATAACACATCTCTGCCATTGTGCTGAGAAGTAGGCCTTCAGCCATCTCTGAACTGTTTGTTTGTTTGAAGTTTAGCACAAAGCTACACAATGGGCTATCTGTGCTCTACCCACCACGGGTATCGAAAACCCGTATCTAGTGTTGTAAGTCCGCAGACATACCGCTGTGTCACTGGGGGGCTCTCTGAACTGAGAACGAACATTTATATGCCTGATGTCACACTCACTGTGGCGAGGAAGTGGATTTGCACCAGTCGCCGAATGTTTGCAACTGTGACTCTCACTACAGGATTATTTGCAAGTAATTCCACAATACTATACACGAACGTGACTCTCTTGACATTGGGCAGTGTTTGATGGATGAATAATCCAAATAGTTTGAGTTTTATACCCAGCTGTTTGAAGTCCAAGTTGCCACTGTACAAGTTTCGTACACTACCACTCACAATAACTTCAATTACACTAGTTTTGACATCAGCAAGCACCTGGTGTGCTGTCTGATCAAATCAGGTTTTCAGTTCATTTGCAGAATTATCAATGGGTTTGTAATATTTCATCCTGTAGCAGTGCACAATATTGCTGAACAGCATTTTCATGGTGGAAGCCTAACAGCATTTTCCTCAGTTTGGAAAGATTTGGCTCTCTGACAATGCCAGTGGTCTCAGCATTTTCCTTTGCCTGTATGTAAGGTTGGTAAAAGTCATCCCATTTTTGCTCAAGAATTTTCTTCAGGATACCGAAACAAGCTATCTTGACCTGAGCCACCACTGAAGCCACTTGCTGAAAATATTCCTTATAAAATGTAGACCAAAAAATGCCAGTGAATGGCAACACAGCATAAAGTTTCATGCAGGGCTTTGTAGCTGCTGAGCATGACAGAAATGAATTTTATCTGGATTGTCCAGTGTATGGAACAAAACAAGTACAGATGTTTTCACTGTCATAATCGACCATTATGTGCTCATACTGTGCCATTTTCTTTGGTGAATACAATATGAACACAAATGGCTCTTGAACAAAGTTGAAAA